CACACACACACACACACACACACACACACACACACACACACACACACTCTATTCTTTGGTGCCATCACACCTATTCCAGTAAAAGATTAGGTACTCACAAGTGGAACTGTGACCTCTTTAAGTTATGCAAACTACATGAAAATTTGTCTTAAAACTTTATTCAACCATGTAGCCTGTGTGGCACATGAAACAAAGGCCTGGTCCACACTACCCCCCCACTTCGGACTAAGGTACGCAAATTCAAATTCAAAGTACCTTAGTCCGAACTTACCGCGGGTCCAGACGCTGCAGGCAGGCTCCCCCGTCGATGCCGCGTACTCCTCTCGCCGAGCTGGAGTACTGGCGTCGACGGCGAGCATTTCCGGGATCGATCCCAGAACATTGATTGCCTGCCGTCGGACCCGGAGGTAAGTGTAGACGTACCCAAAGCTACTACTTTACTGACAACTACTCTGACACCCATGACATGTGACTGGGATTAGGAAATTAAGATTAGTCTCTTATAAGCAACAGTGTGCCCACATTATTATTTCGTGTCGGAATATAAATTTAAAAAAATGGATCATATGAAAGCACATGAATCCCTCAATCTGGAAAGGAATAAACGGAGGTGATTGTAATGTTTACAATTTTCCTGGAAGCAGGGGATATTGCAAAGAATCTGAAACAAGCAAAGTTCTCCACACACTAAAAGTGGCAGGTCCAGAGACACTGAAGAATGACAGTATATTTCAACAGTAGCACGAAGAGGATTACAAGCTACTAAATAAAGTCATTAAAGAATTTCAAGAATACTGTGACCAACACAGGAATATCAGGTATCAAAGTGGCTGGCAACCTGAAAAGATAAACAGCAATCTGCAAAGCCATACTATGCATATCAAGTTAATACACGATGAAACTAAGCAAGACAATATCTCTCTGTCTGAGGACATCCAGAATGCTGCGAACAATGTAGCATGTGCTAAGAGAAGTACCATAAATTCACTCAGTCACTGAACATTTATGATCATAATCAGAAGAGGGTAACTCCTAGAGAGCCCAATTATGACTGAGACCTCACCACGTTAAGCTGTACAAAACAGACAGCTCCTGCCCCTCAGAATTTACAGTCTAAAAAGAAAAGACAAAGCAGGAGAAGTGGTGTCAAAGACAATTTGCCTAAGGTCACACAGACAGACAGTGGCAGAGCCTGGAACAGAACCCAGGTGTCCTGACTCGCAGTATACCCTGCTGTCTTTCAACATCCACCACCACATCCAATAGCAGATGGAATCTGTCTCAGCAGCTGAACTGGCCACTATAGAAGATCTTTGAGAAGTAGCTATATGATCAGGAAACAACTGAGCTTCAGAGTTCATATTTATTGTTCAATAAGAATTAGAATAATCCTGTCAAAGTGGTTCATGACAGCCACATGACTAAGATACTCTATCTGCGTTTTATTAACTGGCAAGGTTAGGTTTGGTACCTGTTCCATTCTATTTTTAAAAATATCCAAGTAAGAGGAGAGTGGGGGGGGGGGGTGGTGGTGGTGGTGAGGTAAGCTAAGCCCTGGATTCAGTGGACACAGACCCCTTGCAAGTGACAGGGGTCTAAGAGTTATGTAACCTTGACCCATGTCATGTGACTGGAACCAAAAAACAAAGATTAGTCTTACCAGCACTCCTGTGGCACACATCTTTACTATAATAAGAAACAAATTGACTTTGTACAGGCTATCATAATGGACATTGCCAAAAAAATTGCTGTTTGGAACTGGTCCAAATAATTGAGAAGAAAACAGTTGTACTGCATGAAATATCAATGAAGAATTTTAAAACATGAAACTGATGCCCAAGCATCAAATCACATCACTTCATTCTGACTGGCACATACACTCCTGCTTGACTAACAGAGTACATTCACTCACCCATCAGTCTATATTCCCTGCCTAATGCATTAGTGTCACCATCAAGTGCAACTGCAACCAGCATCAAGAGTTACTTTAAAGGAAACTATAGACATGTGCTCAGTATTATGGATGTTCACATAAGAGTTGTGCATAAAACACTATACAGTTTAAAATACAAACATTAAAATAAGCATCCTTTTGGTCCTAATGGTGGTCAACTTCCAAAGAGAGATATCTGGAACAAGCAGCATTGTAGTCCAACAATGGCAAATCATGTAAATCTTTTCCTAACAAAAGGATAAGGACATGAGAACAATACAAGTGGAATATTTCATGTTTACAATCTTACATTGGGCTCTACTTTCCAACATCACAAACGTAGTAGCTTTTTGGTAAAATGATACCAAATTGCAACAGACTAACAAATGTTCAGTTATAAACTTCAGTTTAAAATAACGTATGGCATTTACAGGCATTCCTAACCCTTTCCTTTAGCACCAAGACTTTGGACACTGGAACTGCTATGAAATAATCATAGAGGCAAGGTGGGTGAAATAATATCTTTTATTGGAGAGAGACAAGCCTTTGAGCTTACACAGAGCTCTTCTTCAGGTCTGGGAAGTGTACTCAGGCCTAGTCTACACTACAAAGTTAGGTTGAAGTAAGGCAGCTTACGTTGACCTAGTTGTGCACGTGTCTACACTGATTGCCTGGCTTGGTGAGCACATCTAGTAGCTGTACATAGTTGAGTGCAATTGGCCAGTTGATCATGCTGGCTACATGCTCCAGATGCACTCCTGCCTGGAGTATACAGAAGATATTGGATCTTCTGGGCCTGTGGGGAGAAGAGGCTGTGTGGGCACAGCTCTGGATCAGCCGTATAAATGTCAACATCTATGAGCAGATTGCTCAGGGGATACAGTAGAAGGGATGCAACAGGTGCCAGCAGCAGTGCTGAAGGAAAGTCAAGGAGCTGTGGCAGGCATTCCAGAAGGCCGGGGAGGCCAACAAGAGATCTGGTGTCAAGCCTCAGACATGTCACTTTTACAAAGAGCTGCATGCCATACTCTGCTGATACACCCTGTCCCCTCCAGCACTGTGGATACCTCTGATGAGCCAGAGTCACAGGCCCCTGCTGTGAAAAGTGAGGAGAAAGAGTATGGGGGACAGGCAACTGGGGGATCCAGCTGGGCAGTGAACAAGGATCTGTTTTTGACTGCACTGTAGTCCAGCCAGTTGAGCACAGGTGAGCCCAATGCATGGGAAGGAACCTTGGGTAAGTACTTAGATAAATTTTCTATTACAGGGATGCCTCCCTCCCTTCCCCGCAAAGTAGCAGGACTCATCTTTTGACTTTTCATTAATTTACTCAGGCTAGAAGAGGTAGTGGCACAACCAAGAGAAGTAGAGTTGTATCTGCTTTTCATTCCCCTCTAGAGTTAGGTAGGGGCGCCATGTAGAGCCATTTGTTTATGTACACAGGGATGTCCCTGGAATCCTCCTGAAAGATCTCGATGAATATTTCCTGGAGATCCTCTGAAATCCTCTGCTGAAGGTTTCTAGGGAGGGCTGCCTTATTTCTTCCTCC